AAACAGTCTTCCAGCCAACCCAGGTGGCCTTGCATGGAATGGAAAGAACAGACTCAACACAGTCGTTATCAGGGTGTTGTTGTTCGGCTCCAGCCTTGAGACCGCAGCTGGCGCCGAGAGGGTATCCGCATGAAGTGATGGTGCTTTTTATTTTAGTGCGAACAGCTCATATGAATTTCAAAGCTGTTCCAACAGTCGGACACTGGTCTCTCAATCTCCCGTTGGAGAGCCGCGAGCTTCTCCAAGAGCCGTGAGCTAGCAAACTGTAAACAGTGTGTGTGGGGAAATTTTAAGGAAGAAGTCGTTTAATGTGCAAATCAGATGCATGATTTTAGTTCACTGCTCATGTAAGCTTAGCTGTAGACAGTTCATTCGCAGAGTTCTTTTCATATGTTACAAGAAAGTGTAACATAGTGTGAAGGTGCAGCTCCTAATATAAAAGTTTAATACAGAGAATCAGAAGCTCCGGGCGAGAGGTGAAGGTGGTTAAAAAAATCTGTGGATGAAATAGGTGATGATGTCTCGTAGAGGAAGAGGATGCAATACAAGCAACCTAACTGACAACTTCACATGTACATGTAGGACTGATAGAAGATGACTGAATTTCAATTAGAGAAGAAAAAAAGCCCAGAGGCTGCTGTTGCTGGGTTTTGGCGCTTTATGAATAAATTAAATTAAACTGAACACTCAGTCGACTCACGTTTGAAACGGTTTATTACAGTTACTTTATAAAAATGTGTATAAAACTTTTTGGAGGATGGCCCAAAGAGCCCTCTAGTGGATAATGTGGGGGTTGCACAGGTGGAAACAGCAGATATGTCAGAGTGCACATTAGGATGAGAGTGAGGCCTACTGTGGGTGGCAGAGAACAGATGGAGCTGAGCTCAGCTTCATTTCTCTCTTGTTAAAAAAATATTTAATTAGTCAATAAAATGATTAAAATGACATATTTATAAATCACCTTTCAAAACGCATGTTAAGCTAACTTAATGTTTCCATTAATGAAGCAGCTCGTGACCTCTAAAGCCCACGCTGACCGTGTCACGCCCTCACCTTCCCCTTGTTGAAGTAGTGGATGACTTTCCTGCAGAGTCCCTCCTTGCGGTGCCACTCGGTCTGAGCAGGATAATGCAGGAACTCCTTCAGAGGACGCTCGTCCCAGTGCAGCAGCTCCCAGTATAACAGCAGG